ATACAAGCTGACATGCTTCAAAAAGAAAAGAAAAAAATGTTGCAATGACAGACTTCCTTGCACAAGTCACGGTGATAACAGGAAGATTGCCGCCAAGCTTCACCGTTTGAGTTGAACCTTCCCTCCTTCTATTTTAACCTCCGTGGCTGGTACTAGCAGCGCCGTCACCATCGAGATAGATAAGGCCTGCGCTCTGAATCGAAACTGGCTTGTGACGTCACGGTTAAGGGCCCTCAGCAAACTTTTTGTTGGCTTTTTATAAGTTGTAATTTTTTATTCATTATGTTTTAAGAAATGAATTTATGTTTACTTTTGACATCTGAAGCATCATCTCTTGTAATAATTACTAACACTAATATAAAAATTGTCAGCAAAATTTATGATTATTTATTTTAATTGGAAACTAATTTTATATGAATAACTGTCCTAAGGGGTTAAAAGCAGAACAATTATTTCATTACATAATATGTAGAATATCAAATGCAGAGTAAATTTGATTCTTGACAGAGTACTGTGTTCTTAAATTTAAATATCAATGTTTTTTGCAAATCAAAATATCATTTTATCATGATGGAACTTAAATGCATATCTTTAGCTAATATAGCTTCTGTTCACTTTTATATATGTTATTATCATGCAATCAGTTTGTTTAAAATTTGGTTATGCAATATAAATCTTTCTGAGAATGATAGAAAAGTTTCTAAAGTAATGTATGTAAGATTCATATTAAGGTAATTAATTAAATTGCGAAAATGCAAACTGAATTTTTAAAATGTACAGTTATTGAAGAAGCAGTAGTAGTAATTGAATTCATAGTAGACATACTTGTTTTCATTGTATTTCAATTCAATGCAATTTTAAAAACAATTTTTTCTAATTATCTTTTAAATTACAATCTTAATTTGAGTACGTGGCACCACCAAAGCTATGTAAGGTAAGTTAAAAAAATTGCTTACATTTACAGAAAAGTTTTGAATATGATGTTAGGATTTATATTTTCTTTTCATGCGGATATTAATAGAAAAGATATTTTCAGAACAGACGACGTAACGCTTATGTTAAATAGGTATAATGTAAATATTTTGCAAGAAATTTCAGTTTCTAAAAATTTTTTAAGTATTTCGTATATTTTTTAAATATTTTCAAAAAAAATTGTGTATAAGTTTATTTTTAAAAAACTTTTTCCTGTCTTATTTGGAATTTTAATATTTATAGTCTTCAGAGCTATATAATAAACATTATCTCAATTTAACTACAGATTTCTGTCGAATAATTATGTAGCATTAAGAGGAAACATAAACTGTAATACAGATTAACATACAATATGTAAGTAAGAAATAATATTAAGAGATAGACTATTTAGTAATTTATTACATTCAGAAAAATTTTCGGACTGATATAAGGCATTTAAATGTTAATCTAAATATTAAGTAGTCTCTTGCATTCGTTTGATGTTTTATAATCCTGCTACATTAATATGATAGATATAAAAAAATGCAATAATTATAGAATGAGAGATAATATGTGTTCCCACTAGAAAACATTTTGTTAAAGTAGTGGGTGAAACAAAAAAATTTGATGCGGTGGTGAGAATCAACGAGACACAAAGACAGTGCAGAAAAATCAAAGTAAAAATTTTTGATACTTGAATTTTAAAACCAATTTTTCCTTCAAAGAAATGATTTGCTTTTAAAAGCACCACACCATTCTCAAATAATTTTGTTTTGAAAATAAATACCAACAAAAGAAAATGAAAATATTTCATATTCGTATAAGCTTTGTAAAACGTTACATTGCTGCTTTTAATTTTGTTTTAGACTGATTTTATAGTATGAGATACCAATTTCATAGAATAGGTTTAGAAAAACGGGTGTTTAGCAAGGAAGCTAAACTGCGCGAAGACCGGTCCCCTAGCAGTGACGTAGTAACTCAGCGCACAGGCCTTATCTATCTCGATGGTGACGGCAGCGCCCTGGGTGTAGCTCGACAATTGGACATGAATTATTCCACGGTATGGAGAGTTTTGCGGCGCGTTATCGGATTTTATCCCTACAAAATCAACCGCTTGCACGAACTGAAACCAAGTGATTATGATAAGTGAGTGACATACCCTCTATCGTTTCTTGCCAGGGTAGAAATTGATGATGCTTTCCCATGGCACATTCTGTGGGGAGATGAGTGCCATTTTTAACTCAGTGGGTCCGTAAACACAAAAAATAGCCGAATTTGGGCTTCAGACAGACAGAAAGAAAGAAGTACAGGAGGCACCAAAACATCGCCATGGGCAAAACTGGTATCACCCCACTGCACTAACCATCTATAGAAGTGTACCCTGACCGGGCACGCGAACACCTTGCTCGGGAATTAGTTTACATTGCAGCAAGCAGCATTCATAATACACTGTTATATATTAATGGTGCATAATTTGCATTGCAGACAATATTGTCTCAGATATACTTTACACGGGTACTTTGCAGTTGGATGGATAGATACAATAATTACAATGGATAATTACAATAAGTTATTTACAGATGTATATACATATTTCTTTTGTGTTTCGGTTTGGAGCTTTGGTGGTGGTGGGGGGGAGTGTTTATGGTATGTGGTTCGTTGGGTTTTTTGTTACACGATTCACATTTTATAAGTTCTCATTCATAGTGCAGTTCATAATACAGCATACAGTTTATGAATTCATTTCATGGTACATAGCGTTGAGTACGTAATACTGGTGCATCTGTCACACATTGCACAGTATGAAGTAGTTCATATTTCGTGGTATGAGAAAAGTTACGGTTGTCTCAATAAATGGATATATTTAAGTGTGTTTTCTAAAGGCACTCCTTTATACTATGAGTTGAGTTGAGTTGAGTTGAGAGCAGAATCTGGACACCCGTGCGGCTTACTAAGACTATTCGGGTCTAGTCCAGGTTCCGCAACTATCCGGGGCAACACCTCATGGGGCCTATAAGGGCATACATTGGTCCTGTATACATGTTTACATAGTTCATAATATATGCTTATATTTGCATAGTTCATAATATATGCTTACGTAGTTACATAGTTCATAGTACATGCTTATATACAGTAGTTCATAATTACATAGATACTGCATAGTTCATACATATACAGCTTCATAGTACATAGTGCTTACATAGTTCATATTGCTTACATGTCATAATATATTGAGCCTGTACAAATACATAGTTCATAATAATTTATTTGCCATTAACATACTTGTTATAATATATACAGTGGCCGTAAACCTGTTAATATATACAATAAAAAAAAATTAAAAAAAAAAAGATAGAAGAGAGATTGACAGGGACTACCACACTCACAAATCTGTTCCCAATTCCTCCAGTTTCTGCATTATCTTGCATATTTTGATGCGATAGTATGAGATTGCATATTCTTATTGTTGCGTTATGAACTTAGAGGCTTATTTTGTGTTGTAAGATATGGATGATACAGGTCCATTCCTTGGCGGTGTAAAAATCAATAATTTTTAGATGTTTCGGAAACTTTACGGTGCTTAATCATGAATCTTCTAAATTCTATTCCAGTGTCGGGGGATGGCGAATGTGATGGCTGACGTTAGCGGACACTGAAAACATGTAAGTCAGGGTCTCCGCATTCCCCGCATATGCATCTTTTGGGCCTGAGCAGCCCACAACGTGCACGAAATCCCATTAATTCCCCAAAACTCACTGTTTGGTGTGGTTTCACAGCCGAATTCGTAATTGGACCATTCATTTTTGAGACCATCACTCCGACAGGACTCAAAACGTGTACCATAAATGCAAAAAGGTACCACGAAATGCTGCAAGCATTTGTTATTCCACAACTTCAGCAAAGAAACTTCTATTTCAATGAAAAACTTCTATTTCAATGAAAATCATAAGTGTCTCCAATAGACAATCTTTATGCAGGATAGTGCTCCACCACACATTAGTAATAAGGTAAAGCGGCTGTTGCGCCAAAACTTCACTCATAACAGAGTTTTCCAGTTGCATGGCCGCCTCGTTCCCCTGACCTATGGCGATGCGATTTTTTGGCTCTAGGGTTATTTGAAATCTCAAGTTTATGTTGGTGGAGTATCAAATTTGTCTATTCTAAAGGACAACATAACAAAGATAGTGCGGAATATTCCTCGTGATATGTTCATACGGCTGTGGGGAACGTGTGCACAGATTCACGGTGTTATTTCTGAGAACGGTGCTCACTTGATGTGGTCTAATTTTCACCGGGAAGTGTATGTAAAATAAACATTAATAATTTAACTGTACGATTGTATGTCTTGCTTAGTCTAAATACCAAGTTTGGTGTCATTTCGGCTATTAGATCGCGCTACAGGGCGCTCCAAACACTGTCACTTTAAAAAAGATCACCCTGTACTTCAGCCGACGAACGCTTTGTTATGAGTTAAAAATCTGGCTATTTATGTGTCTGTTCCAAACGAGCTATTTGTCTCGTTTAGGATACATCATTGCACTGTGGCCGTTAATATACTATTGGTAGATAGGTGGATATCACTCGATGAACTGGCCTGCTTGTCTTCCGGATTTAAATTAATTAAATATTATGCATCGGAGATGCTCTAGGAAAACATTATACGGTAAGACGACATCAACTGTTAAACTATAGCAACTGTTAAACGAGTATATTATCAAGCTTCACTTAAAATATGCATAGGGCTGGGCAAAATATCACCTCTATTCGAGATAATCATATTCCTTAGTGAAGATCCCATCATATTTTTCTTTAATTTATGATAGCAATTCACTAGTGTTACGATACATTTTGTATTTAACAATGGGTGGTTTTTCTCCAGCACTTCGGTACCAGCTGAGGTAAGACTTGTCTCAAATTCAGGCCACTTCAGCTTAAAGTTGTAGGTGAATAGCTGATTGCTCCTAAAGTTTTGCATACCTGTGTTTCTTTTCATGTCGCAGTAATATGATAGTAGGAAAAAAACAAATTTACCTTATACATTCTTTCAGGTACTGAAGTCCCGAACAGCAAGTTTGGAAACGGCAAAAAAGCAGAGTGCAGCCTACGTCAAAGCAAACGAAGTTCTGAAAGAACAGATACGCGAATTTGAACAAAAACTAGAGCACAAACAGCGGGAAAGAGACGACCTCCTGTTTAAAGCTAATACATTAGAAGTAATTAAAGCGGATCAGGCTGAAAAGATTTCAGAACTCGAACAGAAGTCTTCGCAGTTTGAAGTGTTGATGGCCGGCTTAAAAAAACAATTGGAAAAGGAGTCCTCGAAGAATCAGCAAATCTGGAAGGTTGCTGAAGCAAACAGACTTGAGTGTCGAGAAGCCAAACGAGATCTGGAAGTGGCATTAAATCAAACAAAAACATTGTCAAAAAGAACTACGTACCAGCTGCAAGTAATTAGAAGTCTTCAAGATCAAGTCAAAAAATTCAGAAATTGTATAACTAAGTTTAATATCGATATAAAAACATCGAAATCAGTTGCAAAACAATGGGAAGAAGTTAACAAAAACTTAGCAATGGAACTAAGCTGTAGCCAAAAACGAGAAAATGATTTTTTGAAGAAAATAGCTGAGAGAAATAATGAGTTGGAATTAAGCAAACACAAGATTGATAACCTCATTGAAGAGAAAAACACCTTAAGTTCAAAATGTCAAGAACTGCAATCAGAAGTAAATATCAGAAATGAGAAAATTCAACTTCGAGAACAAGATACAACGAAATTACAGCAGCTTCTCTCAGAAAAAACGGAAACACTGAATACTTTATTAAAAGAAGTTGAAAAGTTACGGTGTTCTCAAATTTCACTCGCACAAAAAAATAATGAAATAAAATTGCTACGAAATGAGCTAAATGGTAGCGAACGTTTATTGCAGATGGAACAGATAAAATGCAAAGCGTTAGAAGAAGAATTCAAAAAACCTCACAACATACACAGGTAAAAATCGTAGGACTTTTTTTTATTATTTCATAACACCTATTGAAAGATTTTACTTAATTCTTTTCTGGCAAATTTTTTTTGATGAAATTATAATATTAAGTTAATATTTAATTAAGTTTCTCAGTCTCTGGAGTTGTAAATAATTTTTAATAACGCAAATATTGTTATTAGATTTCCGTCATTAAATAAGATAAAATAATAAGAATCTATTGGTTGAATAATAATATTTCCATCTATTTATTACATACAGCGAATACATAATTTCTATAATCGTAGCACTGGCGAGTCTTAACGAGGTATTTAAACTAGTTAGAAAATGACATCAAATAATATATTTTAGCCAGCAAAATGACATGCAATGTATTTTCAGTTGTTTCCTTTCAACAAGCTTATAAGCTGCACACGTTTTTTTTAATAATCTGCTTTTGCAGAGAAGTACGTTATTTCTGCTGCCCCATCGAAATCATTTACAGCTCTTTCTTAATTAAACGTTTTTAACCATATACCCTTATTTTTATTTAAGATATATGTTTATAACACACTTCGGCCATTAAAAGCGTAAAACTCTGAAAGATAAGAATTATCAAGATCATATTTATTAAACAGACTGCTTGTATAAGAAGAAAATGACTGCAAATATAAATTGGTTCGATTTTAGAAATTTAAAGAACTCATTACCCTGCGTAAGCATTACAGGCCGAATAACTATTGCTACACGTTCCGGCATATAGAATTGGAGACTTTTGATTCTATACTTGGGATATCTTATTCTATGTAATTCCAGCATGTTGCAAAAGTTCATAAATTGTTGCACGGAGGTCTTTGTGAGGTGCCGGTTTGTAGTCATGAATCAGATGTGTTCAACAAACCAAAGGTCCGGGAAATGTGGAGGTCATGGATGACGTAGACCATAGTGGTCATCAGAAATGGTTAACGATGGTTGTTGGACTTAGAAAGCCACATTATCCTACTAAAATTGGTCGCAGACATGCCCTGAAAATGAGAGAAAATAGGTCTTAATACCTCGGATATGTGGCTTTGGCTATTCTTAAATTACCGGATTGAATATTACATCTATATGCGACTGGAATCTACTAGCAGACCATGTATAAGGGTTGTTAAAATGAAAGTGGCACTACAGTTGGTTTGAGAAATGGTTTAATGATATTAATATAAATTAGTATACAAAAGAAAGAAGTAATACAGATGTTAATAGATAGGCTAGACAAAATCACGTTGTAGATTGAAACAAGTGTCCTAGCGGCCCACGAGACGATGGGATATCCTAGGTAAAGAAGCTCCGCGTTAGCTGTGGAACCAATTTTTAACGGCAGCTTGGACCTCATTATCGTGGGAAAATCGCCGTCCCTTCAGAGATTTGAGTGGACCAAACATATGCTAGTCACACGGCGAGAGGTCCAGGCTGTAAGAGAGATATTCCAGGACCTTCCAGCAGAATTGCCGTAATGTTTGGCACGTCACAGCCACATGAGAACGAGCATTATCATGCAAGAGGATAATCTCATGTAACAGCATGTCACGTCGGCAGTTCTTGGTATTCTGTCTCAGTTTCTGCAATGTGGCACAGTACGTGGCAGCAGTGACAGTCGTACCCGTAAGCATCCATTCCAACAGTAGTGGGCCACTGATGTCAAAGAAGTACGTTAACATGACTTTATCAACTTTGCTGGACACGTGAGCCTTCTTCGGACATGGTAATCAAGAGTGTCGCCCTTGCATGCTCATGCTTTTGATGACTGGATCAAAGTGATGGCACCATGTTTCATCAGCGCCAACGGTTCTTGAAAGAAATTGGTTTGCCATTTCGTGGTACCACATAAGGTATTACACGGAAACAGGCATGCGATGAATCTTCTGCTCCTCTGTCAAATCTTTTGGCACCCACTATGCACAAACCTTGCGGTAACGCAATTTTTCATGCAGTATTGTGTGCACACTTCCTGTGCTCATGGATATTTCCTCCGCTATTTCTCGAGTAGTGATTCGCCGATTCTCTTTCAAGAGACGGTCCCCATCTGCAACTGCTTTTTGGGTGATTACCACATGCGCTTGACCAGGTCGTGGCCTGTCTTCAATACTGCTTCTTCCACTACAAAAATTCATTGAAATACCGATCTGCGTTTCATATACTCAATGCCATACATATTTTGCATTTGACGATAGATTTCAGAAGCACTCACATTTTTCTCTGTTAAAAATTGCACGGCCGCGCATTGACACCATTTGGTGGCACCCATTATGGAAACGAATCCGTTTAACGTGCTCCGACGCTATCACACACGAATCTGGGGGGGGGAGATCGGATAATATTGTATGCACTACCAGCACTCTGTGCGCTTTTAGAGGCATCATCTTTCTCTTCAAATGGTGAAGTTATTACAACAATGACACTTTCATTTGAACGAACCTTTATATAATATCGTACGGCCATGTATAATACGTTGAACCGGTATGGTAATGAAGAATGCAGGATTACGCAGTCTGCCGTCACTGTACCGCCAGACACAAAAGTAGCCAATATGATCAGAAATAGAAGCAGGCAAGGTTTGCTCTTGTGTGACGTCACTGCCGCCTTAGTCTGCTCAAAAGAAACTACTGCTTTTGCGTCTTCGTCTCTTCCACTTGTGTAAGTGACATCAGCATTGCGAAGAGCTTAACTTCGTTTGTATACTGAACTCGGAAGCGGGATTCTTACAAAAGAACGATGTCACGCTATTTATCCTTTCTTCCGAGATGTTTTAGCGCCACCGCAATCTCAGACGCACTTGGTGCACGGCTTAAAATAAAAGAAGCAATGTGCATTTTGCAAAAATTCTACGATGTTACAGCGTATGCCGGGGAAGAGTACAAGCAGAGATCGATTGCCGTGATACATACCATAACCCTCAAATTACAGTTTGTGATCTTATTGTACGATGTACACAAAATGGGTCATTTCCGGTGATGTGACGAGGCCATGGGGATCCTTCACATCAGTGAGTTTGTTTCACGGACTTCATATTCACTTAACTGTGGTCACTCTTCATCCAACTTTAACATTATTTTTTTGAAAAGATAACCCTTCGTCTTGAGATAACGTTAATTCTCCAATGATCAAAGCTGAAAATTTGCTGGCGTGGCTGACGAATTCTTTAACAAGGCACAACAAGTTGTTGGAAAGAAAGAATGTAGATGGTGCTGCTTTGCAGCAGACTGCATCTAATGTAGAAAAATGCAAAAGGGGAACCACTTTCTGGCTTGACGGGGTAGTCATTCCATTTCTAGGGTTGACGCAATCGAAAATATTTTGAGGTAATTATTTCATGGTATTTTCTTTAAATTATCGAAAGTATTGTAGTCGCCTTTGTGATTCTCGCTGTCAGGTGAGTAAGTCTGTCATATTACTATTTTGATTTACAAAGGCCATGAAATTTGATATTCGATAACTTCCGCACTTTGGCAGTGGTTAATATTTTGCAAATTTCTTAATTTCCGTTACAGAATATTACCGAAAATAAAACTTATTGTAACTGATCACGATTTTATGAGAATTTGAGTATATTATTAATATTAAATAATTATAGTTACTTAGTGCCCTTAATCATTAAAGTTTTCTTTTTGTGATAATATAGAGTAATTATATAAGCATGTCATTCTAAATCGAAAAAAAGTTTCTAAGCCAAATTTTTTCCGAGCCGCCCCCCGAAAAAAGAAATAATATAGTGGTGGTCAAGATCATATTTAGTATGTTGTAATCATATTAGTGTGTGTAGGGTAATGACATACCTAGTTCTAGTTCCTGCGGTATTCGTTGTACTAATATTAACGAGGAAAATTGTGCCCTCAAAATTTAAGCATAGATGGGATAACGACATCGTGCTGTTGAGGATAAAAGAAAGAAATCTTGTAACAATCTTAGATTATTTAAAACTTTAAATTTACATGGACGCCATTCGAAATTTGTGAGTTACCGTTAAGTAATGCTTCAAGCGAAATGTTTGTTGTTCTAGAAATTTCAGCATTGATTCAGAAAGTATCCCTACTTGGCGTATTCTAAAATAGAAGATGTGGCATATAGCAAATATAGCGTATTTTTTTTGCTACGCATTATGTTGAACGCACATCTTCACAGCCTGTGGAAAACCATTCTCAAGAATGATTTAAGAAATGGAAACGCGCCTTGCAATATTTCAGTAGCCATAATGCCTTGGAATATCATCACTAAATATAACTAATGTATCACTAAAATTCGTTTCTGCATTACACCAGCTTAACGCAGATAGATACATGATCAAAAGCAAAAATATGAGGATGTTTTTTGGATGGAAATAAAATCAGAGGCTAAAGAAAATCGACAGCGAATGAAGCCCATAGTACTGGGTGGGAAACAAGGTTTAGCATTGCGCGAGCACAGTGATCAAGGCCCAACTCATTTAGATAACTTATCCTCTAAAAATTATGAAGATTTTTAGGGCTATTTAAAGATCGGCCGTTCAATCTGGAGGCAAATCCCTGGAAGATCATCTATCATCAACTGTGAAGAACAATGCATTACATACAAGTTTCATGATCCAAAACGAAATACTTGAAACTTGCCTTTTTTTTTTTTTTTTTTTTTTTTTTCTAATATAAAGAAAAAATATAGAACAAGAAAAGAAATTGAAATATTTCTCAGTTTTGAATGATGAAACAACTGATGTTGCAATTATCTAGCAAAAAATTTTCTGTCTTAGGTATTTCAACCAGGAGCAGATGAAGATTTCTGAATATTTTTTTGTGATTTGTTCCTTATCCTTCTACAGTTATACAGAGCATTTCCCAGGCAGTTTTGAAAACTTCCAAAGATCTGGGTCTGGACGTGAAATATCTTAAGAGGGAAAGGTTATGATGGCGCTCGTATTATAAATGCAGAGTTTTGAATAATTGAAAGACATATTCATTCCTTCACACCGCAAAAAGAAAAGAAGTTTTATCAAAGAAGATCGATGAATTTTACCCTGAATAAAAAAAAGTGCATTTAAAGAACTACGGCCCACAGGATGGACGGATGGAAATGAAAGACTATAATGATTTTCATTGAACTTCTGGGTGCTGTATGTGAATACAATTGATCACTGGACTGACAGTGACCTGTTGATTGGTACCACTGGATTAATCAACTCCATCCATAGTGAGAAATTTATGGTTTTCCTTTTTGTAAGCGAATTAATATTTAGCAACAGCATTTCATTAAGTAGAAATTTACAAAAAAAAAAAAAAAAAAAAAAAAAAAAAAAAAAAGATTTGGATTTCGCTATTGCGTTAAAACATGCCCAGATGCTTCAGGATCAAGTGTTGGACATTAAAAAAAAATGCAAATTATCATTATGAGAGGCTTTTTTTTTCTAAAGCAACAGCACTGTCTTAAAAACATAAGATCCTAGTCATATTCCGAAACGACAAGTCGACTGGATATTACTGATTCCGAGTCGTATTATCCGCATATCTTACTTTCTCCCATCTTTGAATGTCATGATTACAGAAATTCAGAATAGGTTTTTGCTCATAAAGATAATTTGCCTTCCTTTTCCTGTTTAGTACCTCGCTCAGAAAAAAGAAAAAATTTCGATATATTCGTCGAATTTTACAAGGATGACCTTCTTGAAAATGGTGCCCTTTATCTCCACTGAACAAGTCGATCATGAATATTTACTGTTTGGAAGAGAAAAATGAGTGAATTTTCAGACACCAAATCATTGGTTATTGAAATGTTAAATATATGTGAAAAAGATAAATTTTTTAACATGCACAAGATTTTTAGAATAACAGATACAACAGCAACTCCAGTGATGAGCTACAGTAACTTCAGAAGATTGAAGATGTATTTGAGAAATACAACTAGTACAGGGTCCACCTGTAATCACCAGGCTTTGGTAACTGTTAAAAGTTCAAGCCTGGATGAATTCCAATTGTCTGCCATTCCTCTTCTCTATCACTAATCTCTCAAGATGATTTCGGTTCCCCACATATTTTCAGTACTCCTTGTGGCACAGATGCTTACAATCACTTATGCTTTTTACGAGATTCGAACCCAACCCTTTCGGTATGGCAGTCAGTGACACTAATCACTATCCTGTCTGTATGGCTGAGGAATACAACAGCTGACAGTGACGGAGGAGGGGAGCACTTGGCGTCTACCACAGGGTAGTAAGTATATGCTCCTCATCCTCCACTATACAGAGTTTATTGAAGAATTTAAGAAGTTCATGGCCATACAAGGGCTGGATGCGGATACAACAGTTACTCTTTTTGGAGACAGAGGATGCAAGAACAGAGAAGACAGAAACGTATTGCAATGTCATATGAAATAGAGAATGAAACAGAGAACATAAAATATAATACACGGGTATAAATAAATGTAAATATAAATGAAATACACATAAACTGTATGTATTACAAATAATGTTCCTATTGTGTTTCATATACAATCTGATATGTATTTCTCATCTAATGCTAAACTGATATGAATCAAAACAGTGTTTTTAAAATAGTTATGCCTTCTAAATATAGTTCATTAATCAAGTTTTCAAACTAACCTTAGAGAAGGGCTGATGTATTCTGACAGAACCTGCAACAAGTAAGAAACAGAAAAAAGTACATCTATCACTTTGTAAGATTCTAATTTACTTTCTTGGTTAGATCTTTACTTGAACTCTGAAACGACTATTCGCTAAGTTCAAACTGTATCAATGATAAGACACGAGAAGGATGAAAAGAACCTTTTATTCAACTCAAGAAGTAATTTGCAGGGCACTCCTGGTGCTTACAACTTAGCCAATACTTCTGGCTGTGACTCAAAATAGAAATAAAGATAAAAATCAGTTAAATAATAATCAGCCAAAGCTGCACACAGACAATTAACATGAGTTAACTCTTATGCCCTACAACCAATATAGACAAACCGGCAATTAATATGCACGGCTGTAAAATAGCAAGTTTAAATATCAGCGAAACAACTTGGCTGAAAGGCAAAACATGCTCCGTCTGAAAGTAACTCAGACACCAGCTTCAATAGCATCTTTCTACCCTATTTTGTACATCAAACAAAAATAGTAAATAGTAATTTTTGCATTTTATATTTTAATTAATTATATTAATTAAAATATAAAATACAAGAACTGTAAGTCTATTTATTCTGCAGAATCAAACAAGCAAAAAGGCATTCAGTTGATATGTGGAACATGATCCAAAACATTTGTAATGATATATGTTTTGCCAAAACATGTTCAAGGTGGATCAATACATGATATATGATGTAATGAGCTAAACTGTCATTACTAATCCACTAGTTTATTTAACAAAAATATTTAATATTTCATATCCTAAACTCAAATTAGTCTCAAATACAATAACTAGCATATAATTTTTTACTTAATATCATATCTTTTTCAAGATGGAGAGCACTGGAGGGAACTGATCCAAGTCGAGCACAACTGGTCTTGAAAAATCTTAGTTTTCAGAAAGTGCTTAGGAATAAATGTAAGAAGCTTGAGAATTTAGATAAAGAATTAAAAGAAAAAGAAGATCTTATCGAAGAGTTACGTGATGTAATTAGGAAACAAGCTGATTCGAAACCGGAAAAACTTTGGACTTGCAAGAAAGAGCTCCAAGAGTGTAATAAAAAAATTTGCAGCCTTTCAGCAGAAGTAGGAATGTACGAGACTTTATGTGGCAAGTATGAGAAAGAAAATGGACAGCTTAGGGAAGAACTGCAAAAATTAAAAAAATTAGACTATGAAAGAAAGTTGAAGCTGAGAGAATTATAAATACTGAAGATTTAAACAATGTAATAATTTAGTTTAATGGAAAAATCCAGAATTGTCTCATCTATACTTATTATTGCTGTACATATGCAGAATTTACTTTAGAATATCATTAACTAAATTATCCATATAATTCACATACAATACAAAAGAAATGTTTATAACCAAGTTGTCTCTTGGGTTGATCTTTATGTGGAGTTAATAGTTGACTTTCTAATTTAAAAGCATAGCTGAATATAATGCAGATACTATTTATAAATATTGTTGCGTGCGTACGGGTTCGTTATGAAGTGAATGCACAAGTCCGATGAAAAATGAACAAAACTTTTTATTATCACAACAAAATGCTTAAATTTTCTCAAATTATCATTGCAGTATCAATATCTCACAGTAGTATCTTTTAACTACTCAAATGTCCAAGAATGTAATTCAAACAGCTAAAGAACGCTAATCCGCGAATTCGCTACAATACAACAGTAGTTTTCTAAAACAACAACAAACTAAGCAACTACAAACTGAGATGTTTCCTCCTTTTATAAGCTTTTAAATCACGCGCTAGAATTTCCAGTACTTTCTCGAAATCAAAAAAGAGATATTTATTTATTTAATGCACGCGCTCTTGTATTTTTAATTTTTCCGGCTTAGCTTTATTTTAATATTCGTCACGCGCTGCACTGCGCGAGAATAAACCATTTAATTTATAATTAAACTAACATAGCTTTTTAAATACCAAATTCGTAACACTGCCCCCTTCCCAGGACTGCACTCCCGGGCAGTACAATCCCTGGACAGAAGCTAACTAAACGTGGCATAAATGCATTAATAAGCATTACATTAAATAATAAACAACATGAAAATAATGCAATAAATAAAAACAAATCAAAATACACATTTAAAAACAAAATGGACCAGGTCTTATACTATTTACAATTATTTACATTATGTACTATGGCCAGTGTATGAGCTAACATGTCGTATGAATGACTTTGGTTTAGAGTTCGAACTCACGGATCATGACGTCATTCCGTTCATTACGTATATGGACCATCCGAAGGTGACTGTAATTAGGCCTGACTCCTTTCGCCGAATCGGGGTTCCACAACCACACCTTGTCTCCTTCGTGGAATGATGTTAGTAGCTCTTGGTCGTATCGGGTCTTATCTTCTCCGCGCTAAGTGACTCGTCTCGTGCAAGTGTGCATCACTTCAAACGGGCTGAGATCTTGAATATATTCCTCAACGATGAAGGCATCTGAGGGCGGCCAACAATAGATCAAAGGCAGCCGAAGGCACGACCGAAGAGAATCTGTATGGAGAATAGCCGGTAGTCTCGTGGACAGCATGCGTAAGCCAGTAAAAAGAAAACAGCGATAATTTCTTGTCCAGTCGCTGGTTTATGGAAACCTCATGAGAGGTATTAAGGATGTTCGATTGAACCTCTCTACCATGCCGTCCGACTGGGGACGTAATGGCGTCGTTTGGGTCTTTCATGCGGTAGTTTGATAGTTCTTTATATACCGAGGTCAAATTCCTTCCTGTGGAATGTAAATGGAGGCCTCGACCTGGAAATCAGTCTGTTCATTACCTCGCTACTGTGACAGCCTTGATCAGGAATAGGATAAGCTTCAGGCCACTTGGTGAATAACAAACGACACGCGTATGTATTGGTCCATCAGCAATTCGTGGCAGAGGTCCCGGATGTCAAAGGCTATTCGTTCAAAGGCCCCCTCGTTGTAACGTGCGCTTGCACGGCTGGTCTCTTAGGTCCTTTCCGACCTGCCAGGCATGCAAGATCGCACCCTTTGCACGTCACCCTTTGCATTTTCCGTAAAGCGCTACGAAATCTTGTAGGTCTTCATTTTCCAAGTGACTCCCGTAGGTTTATGTAGTTCTTTAAGGACATAGGAAGGAGGGATCTTGGAAGTATCAGCTGCATCGGCACGTTTTTCCCATCATCCGATTCGAATTTCCGGGTATAGACGCCGTTCGAATGTGAGGGAACCCAGAGTGCCCAAATTGTTTGGTTGTGGATAAGATCGAAATGCCTCCAGTAGGTTTCTGTTGAGACTCCATTAGATCAATTATGGGTTTATGTAGCGGTATTCCAGCTGGTCTTCCTGACTCATCATCACTCCAGGTCTCGATCAGCCGAGTTGATGTGTAATTTGTCTTGCGACGGAGTAGCACTCGTATTTCGCTTTCCACCCTGGAACAATATCGCATTTTATTGCAGGTCTTCTAGACGGGCGTCGGCGTTCCGTGTATGCTCTTACGATGACGGTAGGATGTCATATTTTGGAGTCTGCATCCACTGCATTTGACCCTCAGGATTTTGAAATTTAAAGCCGGCATGATGCATGATCGTGTCGAGCAGAATTTCTGCCGTATAGATAGTGATGGAACTGTCTACAGCTTTGACTATGGCGAGCAACTCTTTCTGGTGACACAATAATCCTCTCCGGTTTATACAGCAATGCCCCAGACGCCACTACACGTTCTGCCGTCTATTTCTTGGACAAACAGCACCGCCACTTCATTGCTGCGTCGTTGTCGAGAAAAATGGTCGGTGTGCTGAGGATACGTCAAGATGAGCGAGTTAAGCCTCCTTAATTGTTAATGCATCGTCATTTTGCCCAAAGAAACTTTTGGTTGTCTCTGTAAGCTTGTGAAGGGGTCTTGCGATGGAAGAAAGTCCGTCACGAATCTCCTATAGTAGGTGCAAAGCCCTAGGAAGCTTCTCAGCTGATGATTTTCGGGACGTTTCCAGGATTTAACCGCTAACCTTTTAGGATATGTGCGCACACCTTCTCAGGGGACATTCCCGGAAAGTCACTTTCTTTCGAAACATTGCATTAGCGGATCAGCTTTAGATGGATCTTCAGTTTGAAGCACCTTCTAAGATTTTCTAATGCTCTTCAAACTCTTTCGACGTGTGATATCGTCCAGGTATTCAGACAGGCTTATGGAAAGTCCTTCAAAACCTCTCCATGAGGCGTTCGAATGTTGCCGGCCTTAACAGTCAAACGGAACACTTGTATTGCAAGACTTGTCCCTAGTAAATGCCGTCTTTTTCGCGGTATGGAGGTGTATTTCTACCTGCCAACCACTCTTTAATCAGCGTGATAACCACTTGCTTCCAGAAGAGGTTAGATGTCGTCATTCTAGGAAAGGGTAACTGTCTTTCTTCGAACCTCATTCACCCGGCGATAGTCAACGCAAAATCTTGTGAGCATTCTTTCTTTCTGACGAGAACATGGGAGCTGCCCCTGACTGTTGAGGCTCGATGACACCGCCTTCTTCCCATCCTGAACAGTGTTCGTACCTCTTCCTGTTTAGCAAACGGAAGACGCCTTGGATTTGCTATCGGGGGATACGCCGTATCTATTCTATTTTATGCAAACTAGTTGACCCACGTCAGAAGACAGCGGAAAAAACAACTTGAGATCTAATACGAGATGGCAGAATTCGATGATGATTTCTTATGTTTAATGCGCATTCTGAAGTAATATGATGTTGCTTTCTTCTGAAGACACGGATCTTGATGTTACGCTTTCTACAACGGTGTTACTGGAGTAATGCTGAACCACTTCCCTTCTTAATAACTCTGCTTCCGTCATTGCGACTCTCACGGATAACGTTCTGGATAGGTAGACGAGTGTTGGGATACTAGTACTCCTTGGGCATAAGTTATCGGATATTCTATATTCGTGCGGAAATTTCTATTCGTATGGATCCAGGAGTAAACTCGGTTCTTTGGGGAATTGTGATTCATCTTGAGCTATAATTTTGTGGATAGATTTCCTCCACATAATTCCGAATAGGGATGTCCTCAGATGTAGACAATCTATTTTTAAGTACAAGTAAAATTGTATTCCTAGAGTTCCAATGCTTTATGCAAGAACAGTGATCTCTGTACTATCCGTGTGATGTAAGCGCACTTCCAAACTGATGTTAACGTTATTTTCATCGAGTCGATCTCTCACGGACACGTCTGAGGGACGCAGGCGGAGTCCAGCTAAGTTTGTTTCCCAGTTGTGAGCCAATCTTTCGATATGGTAACGTTAGCTCTGTTCTATCGTCATATGCAGGAACTCCTTAATATGTCTATTAAAAAGTCCATATGCCGCCCTTCCTGCATAAATCTGAAACGCTTTAACTGGGCTTTTCTTATCTGGCAACCTCCGCCCCACAGATGGCCTCTAATAGTTTCCTGCTGTTTGTTAGCGCGGTCTTAACATACGTACCTGGGTATCTGCAGTCTTCGTCGTATGTGTCTTCAGCACCGCAGTTCCAGACTTAACGGCGGTTTTTTCTCACAATATTCCGTCCAAGCGTTCAGTTGTTAGTTAAATATCTAGACAGCGGTGATTTATTCCCTGCTCCTGACTGAGCAGCTCTGACTGGGGCGGATCGACGAGTGGCTTCTGGGCTGCCTCGAATTTCATGGCAACAACAAGCGCTTTTATATCCTTCACATCCGCCCTTCGCAGAGCTTTCTGTATTTCAGGGTCCCGGATGCCATCAATGAATATTGCAGGGACAGGATTTCCCTTTGTTTCTGTCGGGCACTCCGAAAAGGCGAGGTGATGGACAGCCTTTCAACTCCGTGGCGAGCTCCTGAAGTGTTTCGGTGGGCTTCTGTTGACGGGATTTTAATTGAAGCCTGCTGTAGTCTTTTAAACATTTCTCGCCAAAGCGCAGCTCCAATGCGCCGGATAGAGCTTCGAAGTCAAGTCTTTGGTTTTCAGGAAGAGTCGCAGGATATCCGCTGTGTCTGCTCTAAAGAAGCGGCGAGATGACAGGCCTTTAGCTTGGGAATCCATCCATTCGCATCCGCCACGATAGAAAATTGTGTTTTATACACTTGCCAGGAGGTTCCCATCATATGTGGATAGCTTCAGAGAGGGACGAGCAGGCATCGGTAAAAATTTAAAATCATCACTATTGCTCCCTGCCGTCGCTACGAATTTCTTTAAAATATCCACTTCTTTGGCTACTGCAGAA